ACATGGACAATCATGGTCACTGTAAATAAATATTGTGCTTGTAAGTAAGGAATATGTAGAAAAGAAAATATACAACTTTCGCTACTGAAGTACAGAATCTCTTCAGATTTTCATGGTATCCTGAAACAATATCAATTTTTATTAAGTAACCTAAGTGTTTATTAAGGAAGTCCTTAATGAAACAGAATTTCATATAATGACATACACTAGTAAATAAAGCAAAGCTACTTTCTAAAAAAGTAACAAAGGCTTTAGCAATTAGTTGTAACTTTGAAACCAAACAAGGACCAATAAAATTTCTAAGTTAATACAAGAAGAGGCTTTGCTTCCAATGATGAATGGGAACACTATTTGCAGTGTTAAAGAAAGAAATCCAGGAACCAGAGAAAACAGTTCAGTGTGTAATGACACCTTGTTCAGGGGGGCCCATGGGGTGGAATGAAAGAATTGATTACCAGAAGTTGTCTTCTACACACACAATAAATAAATCTTTACCTTTTTAAAGAAAGAAGTTCAGCCACTGCAGGCATCTCAAGCTGATTTGCATATAAATAGCTACCAATTCATGAATAAGATCAGAGTCCACTCTGAGACTCATCAACATGAGTACCTAAATGGGGGCAGGAGGTATCCTTTTTATGGCAGGGTTTTACTCCATAGCTTTGGCTGGCCTGGAACATATTGGGCTACAAGAAGGGACTGTCCTTGAGCTGAGAGATCTACCTGACTCTGCTTCCTAGGTACAGGGAAGTTGTGAGCTATCATACCTAACCCTAAATCAGTTTTTGGTGATACTGTTTTTAATACATCTAATATCTAAAGCAGTCATTCAGATAGTTCTGGTTAATTTTAGTTTCATAAAAACCTAAAGGTTTGGGGCTGGAGAGATGACTGAGCATTTAGCAACACTCACTGTTCTAAAGGCCTGGAGTTCAGTTCCCAGAACCACAGTAGGGTCCTGCAATTGCAGTTCCTGGGAATTTGACACCTCTTTCTGGTCTCCGCGGGAACATGCACAAATGCATAAACATGCACACACACACACACACACACACACACACACACACACACACAAATAATAATATTAAATCTTTAAAAATAAACATAAGGATCAAGAAGATGATTTGTTGGTAAGGGGCTTGCAATCCAAGCATGAGTACCTGAGTCTGGATCCCCAGGACCCATGGAAAGCATTACCCCAGTGACTCTTCAGTGAGAAGAAAGTGGAAACAGAATTGCTGGAAACTCAAGATCCACCTAGCCTGGCACAAACAACAGTAAAAAGGAAACCTTGTCTCAAACAAGATGAAAGCTGAGGACTGACATACAAGGATATGTCATCTGACTCCAAATGTATATCATGCTACATAAACACCACATAATATACTAGATACACATATATATGTATCACAAAGACTTTAAAAACAGATATAATCCAATGCATTTCCATTTTCTTATCTAGTTTTCAACTCTAGAAAGAATGTTGTAAACAAAAGCATATTAAACTAGGAAATATGATCACGGTGCTATACTTTGGATCCTAGCTGTTCTTTAGATCAGCCTTGTGATATTGGATGAGGGTAGGACCTTTAGAAAATGGGGTCCAGTGAAAGGCCCTAGTCCCTTAGTCCACATTCTTGAGGGAACAGTGGGAGGAGTACCCTTTCTCTTCGATTGGCTTTCTCACTGATGTGTTAAATAGATTCTCTACTATGTGATTCCTGTATTGCTATGTGGATTCTTCACATCAGAGGTCCAAAAGCAAAGGGTCTACCTAATTTTGGAGTGGAATAAAACCATTAAAATCTATGGGCTAAAATATAACCATTTCTTCATAAGTGTTATATTATCATAATAGAAAGCTGACTGACAAACCCATGTTCCAATAATATTGTTAGTGTCAATTTAGTTTTATGCTTGCAGAACACTGTCTCGAATCCAGACCTTGATTTCCTGTGATCCTACCTAAATGATCCCATTCCGTCATGCAAAAGCTTGTGAAATTCAGATGCAAAGAGCATGAATAAATTTTAAATTTTACTTTCTTAATTATGTGTGTTCTGTGATATATGATATGCTCTGTATTCTATACTATAAATGTATTTCAAAGATTAAATTAATGCAACATTTTTAAAGGGAATTTTGAGCGAACATAGAACATAAAAACGTTTGATAAAGTTACGACCTTGTATATGGTAACTACATGATGGGCATTCACATACAGAGTACACACTTTATATTATACATTGATAAATTAAATCTAATTTCATCATCAACAGTATAGAAACAAAATGTATATTTAATGACCTTTACTATAGTAATAATTCATTTCACTAGGGATGTCAGTAGGCAACCCTGACCAAGACCCTCTGACTGCTGCTAGGGCTCAGATGAACTGTCTTCTTCAGATCTCTCTGAACTAGTAAGTATCTACTATTGTTGATTATTTTGGATTTACCCAGTACTTCAAAACTATTCTCATTTGTTTAACTCCAGGCTTCTCTGCCTTCTTGTTTTCCATAAATATGATTCATTAGCATGAGTAGTGATGAAAAAGGTAAACTTATGAAGAGAAAAGTTAAGGATTTTTAAGTATAGTTGGAAATTATATATTTTATATATATATATATATGTATGTATAACTAGGGATTTTAAAGCATTATACTTAACACATAGAATAGATGTAAAGGTGTTGAATTTCACCATATTCCTAGTTCTAAAATAAACTAAATATAACCATCTAGTTGAATGTATTCATTATAGCACTTAGACATTTAACCATTCCTGAACTAGATATTTTTGGCTGTATACCTCATTATCTTTAAGTACAGCATTCTAATCCTTAAATTTTAATTGACTTTACAACAATATAAACTGTTTTTATTATTACTGTGTGAAATGATATTTTATAAAACAGTCCTTAAGACAGTTATCCATAACATAAATGAGAGTTATAGAAAAATCTTGAAACAAACTAGGCACCTGCTTACATAACTGGATAAGAATTAAGAGTCCCGCCGGGCGGTGGTGGCGCACGCCTTTAATCCCAGCACTCGGGAGGCAGAGGCAGGCGGATCTCTGGGAGTTCGAGGCCAGCCTGGTCTACAAGAGCTAGTTCCAGGACAGGAACCAAAACCTATGGAGAAACCCTGTCTCGAAAAATCAAAAAAAAAAAAAAAGAATTAAGAGTCCCAAATAGCTTTATAAGTAAGACAGTGGTAACAGGATATTCATTTTTTCTTAGGCACATACCCAACTTCATACAAAATGTAATTCCATGAAAATATCACATAACTTCTACTTTTTTTTTGTTTTGTTTTTCGAGACAGGGTTTCTCTGTAGCTTTGGAGCACAACTTCTATTTTTACAAACCAAATTATACTCTAAATGAAATAGTTCTGTGATTAGGAATGGAGCTATCAATCCAATTTCAATAGGCAAATATTACCACATGATTTCTATTTTCCCTAAGTACTGGGGTCTGAAATCATCCATGCTAGGCAAACCTACTGGGCTACACACACCTGGTATGTGTTTGTAGTATATGTGTGCAGGCACATGTGTTTGTATGTGCTCAGGAAGTCCCTGTAAGAGTGATAAATTCTACCATATTTAAAATTCTAAGAAGTACATCTAAATCATTTGATTAATTTGTATTAGTGTACCTGTGAGAACATGTGGAGACCAGAAATTGATATTGGGATTTCTTTCTCAATCACTTTTCCACTTAATTTCTGAGACAAAACTTCCCAATGAACCTGAGGCATACCATTCAGGCTAAACTGGCTGGCCAGATATGCCCCAGGGTCCACTTATCTTCACTTTCTAGAGTTTAAAACATATGACCCTACTTGGCTTGTATGTGGGCAATGGAGTTAGGAACTCAAGTCCACTTGCTTGCCCAACAAGGACCTATACCCAGTATAGGTATGTCCAGTATTTATTTTGAGAAAAAGTCTCACTATATCGCCCAAGGTATCCTCATATTTGTGATTATACTTTAGTGTTTCTATAAGATGGGTTTACAAGTATAGACTACTTCTAGCTTCCCTGCCCCAACCACAGCATTGGGTGCCTAAGTGCTGGGATGAAAGTCAGTGTCATCCCTAAACTGAGCAAGTGTCTGACCACTGAGCTGTACTCCCAGCCTTTACATTTTAAAGAAGATGCTAAACTTAAGAATTTGCTGAAAATATGCCATGATCAAGATTCCTTAACATAGTCAACCTTATTCATGACCACATCATGAGAATTATCATTTGCTTACAGGATCTCCTGCAGGGAGCAGCAAATTACAGAGTGTAGTCAAATCTAAACCACTGACTGCTTTCATAAGTAAAGATTTGTGGGAATATCGCCAAACACTGATTTACATAATGGCTAAGGCTGATTTTACCTTTCAGTGGCAGAGTTGAATAGTTCCAATAGAGACTTGAGAGACAGAAAAGGCAAAACTACTTGTTACCTTGCCTTACACAATGTTTACCTATTACAGCTGTTTCAGCAATGCTCAAACTTTTATTACCAAAACAGCAATACAGGGTTTTGACAAATGAAAAACTAAGCAAACTACTAAGTTTATAGAAAAATGTGAGGAATATAATCCTATCCAAAGTTAATATCACAAAAAATGCATGTTTTCCTTCAAATAACCTTCTTATCAAAGCTTCTTCATAAATGTTTTATGTCTGAAGATAATAATAAGGTTGCAAATCACCTGACTTTAACTCAGATGTTTATCATTTCTATAATTACAGCATTTACAGGAAATGAAATTACTCTTGGTAGATCAGTTTTGCACAGTAAAGAGAATTTTCATATGCCAAAAACCAAAACATAAAAGAACCACTTACATATCAGTGAATGAAATTTCAGATCAACTACAGCAAAAACATTCCTAAGAAGACTGCTTTTCTCAAAACTGTGTAACTTTGTAATTACTTTGTCCCTACAGTCTCTGCAAAAAAAAAAAAAAATGTTGATTACATTTTTTTTTTTACCTTGAGATCACGGTACACAATCTTTCCAGAATGTAGATAGTCCAAAGCAGAGACAATTTCTGCACCATAGAAACGTGTGCGGTCCTCAGAGAACACCCGCTCTCTCGACAAATGGAAAAACAGCTGCAGGGTAAACAGCAGGGACAGGATTGTAATAATTACTGATTTAGTGGGGGAAATTAACACAAACATAAAACACCTCTCATCACCATATTGTGATGATAGATAGTGTACTCTCAGTGGACACCGAGCACTCTAAGACAGCAGCTGGCTTATCTTTTGCAGGTTTCCAAGGGGAAACTGCGAGCTGTTAAATCAGCGTTTTAATCAATATACCAATCTTGTTTAAGGCATTCTGCTTGCTACCCATTTAACCTTCAGGTACCAGAGGAAAAAGTATGCGTCGTTAGATTTCATTTCCCTCTAACTATACTGCTGTTCCAGTCTTACAAGGAATAAATATTGACATTATCAAAATAAATGAACAGGAGCATGGGTATGGTGTTTTTATTTAATTATTTAAGTTATATTTGATTTCAAGGAAAAACAGGAATTTTCTTAAAACTCATTTATACTAGTTAGTCACAGTTTACAACTATTATTTATCATATTTCTAGAAATACTTCTGAAGCTACAAATAACATTTTTCTATAATAAGAAATTTCACAATTTTAAGGTTTTACATATATCTTAACAATGCTCAAATTGGACTGAGGTTTCCACCACTCCTGACATGGAGTGATTTTTAATGCCCAATCCTTTTATTTTCAATTTTAACTGTGATCTCCTATGATCATATAAACTCTAAGTCAATCATCTCCTAGTTAATCAAAGGTATTCCAACAGTCAGCAAGTATTTACTGGGCACTTACTGCAACCACAAACTAAAGTTCTAGTTTTATGAAACATAAGTCCCATCATTTAATGATTAACATATCTCATCTCTCAACAGGAGACACGGTTAGGAGGACAGTGTTTGCCTAACACTTGCAAGGACCTGTGTCCATTCCCAGAACCACAAAAAGCAAAAAAAAAAAAAAAAAAAAAAAAAAAAAAAAAAAAAAAGCACAGAATAAATAAAAACATCTATTTTCTTAGAAAAACAGACATCAAGAAATGGATCTGAGGAACCATAAACTGATTATCAATCTTTGTTGAACTACTATACTTTATCAAGAAATCTGCCAAGATTGATAATCTAAAATATCTTTGCCCTGTATAAACATAACTACGACATGTTTGATTTTAGTATTTGTATAACACATATTTTAACACAATTATGAGATTAAAATATAAATTATAAGAAATGCACATGCGCTGGGCGGTGGTGGCGCACGCCTTTAATCCCAGCACTCGGGAGGCAGAGGCAGGCGGATCTCTGTGAGTTCGAGACCAGCCTGGTCTACAAGAGCTAGTTCCGGGACAGGCTCCAAAACCACAGAGAAACCCTGTCTCGAAAAACCACACACACACACACACACACAAAAAAAAAAAGAAAGAAATGCACATGCATACAAAACCAAATTATGTAGGGCTGCTAATAAATACATCAGTATCTAGTTTATAAATGCAAAGAATTTCTGTGTAAAATAAGAGACATAATAAATGGAAGAGAAAAAAAGGAAATATGCCAAGAATGAAAATTATTTACAATCCTGAATAAACCACTAAGATGTCATTGAGCATACTCAATTCAAGTCTGTGACCAAAAAAAAAAAAAAGTGCCTTCTACTGTAAGGCCAGAAAATAACTATTTCCATACAGACCACTAACTCATATTAAATTGCAAAAACTGTAGCTTATAACAAAGCTTGTTCAACATGTAATAATAATTTTGAGACTAGGTTTCTCTGTGTAGCCGTGGCTGTCCTTTAACTCACTCTGTAGACCAGGCTGGCCTATAACTCACAGAGATAGGTCAGCCTCAGGCTCCCAAGTGTTGTGATTAAGGGTGTGCCACCACCGCCACCTGGCTATACAGTTTCTTATACATTCACTCTTTCTTCCTTTATTCTACTCCTATCTCTACTTAAATTATTTTGAAAGGCAACTTTGTATGTGACTCATTTGCCCAAGTAAAGACAGGAGAGGAAGAAAGAATATTGATATTGCTAAAAATGACTGAAAGAACATTAGATAGATTGGGAAGTAATTTGTTAGACATATCTAAACTATAATGTTCCCTACTTTATTCCCATGTTTTGTCAAATCTGTGACACCACAAGTAGAGAATGAATTACTTCTGAAGAATGGTGCATCAAAAAAAATAATATGAAAAGTAAGATCTGTGACACTGAGTCTAACATGCCCTGAGCACTGCAGACGCTGTGATCACGTGTGATCTGTGACACTGAGTCTAACATGCCCTGAGCACTGCAGACGCTGTGATCACGTGTGATCTGTGACACTGAGTCTAACATGCCCTGAGCACTGCAGACGCTGTGATCACGTGTGATCTGTGACACTGAGTCTAACATGCCCTGAGCACTGCAGACGCTGTGATCACGTGTGATCTGTGACACTGAGCCTAACATTCCCTGAGCATGGCAGACGCTGTGATCACATGTGATCTGTGACACTGAGCCTAACATTCCCTGAGCACTGCAGATGCTGTGATCACGTGTGATCTGTGACACTGAGTCTAACATGCCCTGAGCACTGCAGACGCTGTGATCACGTGTTGCTGCACAGTGCCTAGATTTCTTTAAAAAAACATCAGTTCTACCACTGGCTAGCCACTGACAGAAGAGATACAGAGCCTCTCTAAATTAATATAATGCATTCAAGATTCTAGGTCTTTATTTGGATGGCAAAGCTAAAATTTGTCTGCCGGTCAACTTCCATAAAAGTATCAGCTCAAGTTTTATAATTAAGAAGAACTCTGTATTTCAAAACTCACTGCCATATGATGTGTCCTTTTGCTACTTTATGGAATGCACTTTGTAAAGACAAGCAGTGATCTGTAACTGCCAAATCTGATGATCTATATATACTCGGCTCCCGTTCTTGTTTTGGAGATTAGGAGACTGCCTGTGTTCTCTTTTACAAAGTGTGTTTCTTGGCTTTGGTTTAACACCGCTTTCCTGATTCATGGACTACCTTTCTGGATCATTATTATTCGTGTTCATCTGTGTATTAAAACATTTCAATCTAATATTTATTTAATGACCATCAATTATTTTAAGGTAACTCTGTGAGGCAGGAGAATAAGGAAAAGGAGTACCCTGACTCTTAAGATATACACTCTTATATATAGCTTTTCCTGTGATAAGGCCAAAGAATACATACTCATCTCCAAACTCATTAACTACATGTCTCTTTCTATATAACAATCAAACTTCAACAAAATGACAAAAAAATAGACATAACCCCTACTATTAAGGAATTCTAGCTTATGAGGAAGATGCAGGCATGTTTACAAAAAGAGCAGACTATAACACATTTTTGTGAGACAGTAACAACACTTTGGAGATAGAGTGATTAATTTATATAAGATGATCTGGAGATACGTCACAGATAAAGTTCACTTAAGTTTTGAAAGATACAATCTTTCACCATAGGAAAACATAAGGGATATAAAGACTACTACTTAAAATATATCCACCTGTGTACTTCTATATAACATAAGGGATATAAAGACTACTACTTAAAATATATCCACCTGTTACTTCTATATAACATAAGGGATATAAAGACTACTACTTAAAATATATCCACCTGTGTACTTCTATATAACATAAGGGATATAAAGACTACTACTTAAAATATATCCACCTGTGTACTTCTATATAACTCAGCACAAGAGCCACACAGAAGCAGGTGAAGAATAACCATTTGTAGAAAGCAGCAATTTTTTTTGGTGGTGTATATTCACTATAGAGAAAAGGGTTTTTATTGTGATTTCTCATATTTATATATGCTTTGATTTTTTTCTATTCTCTGTCATCATCACCTTTCCTTCCATTCCTGGATCCCCTTGCTATTCTTCAATCTCCTTTCACAAAATCCACAAGTTCCCAATAAAATAAAAAAATATTTTTAGAGAACATTTCAGAGAATATTGCAAGAATAATATACATTTAGAAAAATTAACAGAGAGACAGAGACACACACTCACAGAGAGAGAAAGAAAGAGGGAGGGAGAGAGAGAAAGAGGAGGAGGAGGAGGAGGAGGAGGAGGAGGAGAGAGAGAGAGAACTAGCTTAACAAGTAAATAATAAAAGGATCTGAGGTTATACTCAGGTAAATAATTTCTAAAAGTGCACAAAAGTTATTTATCACCTATTAGTACTAACTGCTATAAAAACCTACAGACATTAAAGGAAATAGCACTAACACACAGGACACAATGATGTGCTGAAACATGGCAAATACTATAAAAGACTTTGGAAGAATAAGTATGTTTGGGAACACCAGAAGTTATGTTGGATCTTGACGAGTGCTTCTGAGGGCCATCGGCTAAGGAGACCATAAGCACCCTTCAGGAGAATCAGTACTCCAGAAGAATTTGGACCAAGGGAGAGATCAATGATGTTGAGGTTTTCTTGTGGCTGGCTGAGTAGATGTTGCTGAAAACAACATAGAGGAAAAAATAATTGGTGATAGGGATACAGGAGCAATGGGCTTTATTTTGACCTACTGAAATTTAAATATGCAATTGATGTTATATTTCAATTTTAGAATTATGGATACCAAGGAAATTGTTAAAACCAAAGAAGTACAATCCAAAAGCTTAGAAAAAGTAGGGGCAGTCTCAGGATATTACTACACTTACTGTTAGGGACAAGTAGCAAAAGAGGATACTGATAAGAAGTGCTAAATGAAGCACAAACAAACCAAGAACCTGAAGAAAGGGAGAAAAAACATCAAGAAAAGACTGGGGAGATGGTGCAGCTCATGAAATTCTTGAACTGCATTCTTCAGAACTTATACAAATAGCCAGACATGGTGGCATGTAATTGTAAACTCAGCATTGTAAGGAAGCAGAAATGAACCCTTGTAGATCCCAGGCCAGCCAGCCTAGCCTAAATGGAGGTCTCCGGATCTAACGAGACACTTTCCCAACAAGTGCTTGACTTCAGAAGAGCACCACCATGGCAAATCCACATGCAAGTGCGGCTGCA